GTCAGCGATGACAGCTACGTCTACGCCATATCTAGGAGGGCCAATGCTCCCGCCGATTGAAGCTGAAGAAGAACACGGTCTTCTTAGACCTGAGATTTTCTCGGGAAATCATCTATGAAAATCAAAACTTTTCTCCTTACGGCTTGGGATTTGGGGAACATTGATTCGAAATGAAGAAGAAGACTGGGATTTCAGTGTTTTGGTATTTTGAATTGAACCGGCCATCTTCCCAATTTATACAATTTCAGATTTTTTCTTTGCAAATTGACACCTGTAGTTTAACAGAGTTTAGGAAACTACCACTGATTTTGTAGAGAACATATAAGTGAACCTTCAGAATTGGGTCTAAAATTAAGTGGAAAAAACAAAACAAAAAGACGTTTGACTTATCTCTTAACAGATTTGAGTTGAGTGTTTGATGTTTTGGTTTCTTCGTTTAGAACAAGATTACAACAAAATGCTTTCTCATCACTCACTCTTTTGTAGCCATTTGTTTCTGGCAACATAGTGTCCATTACCACATCCTGCAACTCCTTGGTCAAGACCGGTGCAGGAGAATACGCTCCCATTCCGCCTGTGTTAGGACCGGTATCTCCATCTCCAACTCGCTTGTGGTCCTGAGCAGATTCTAAGGGAATGGCGTTTTCTCCATCCACAAGCGCGAAAAAGGAAGCTTCTTCTCCCTCTAGAAACTCCTCCACGATCACCTGACATCCTGCAGAATCAAACACACCTTTGACCAGCATCGAATCAACAGCTTCAAAAGCCTCCTCTAGTTTCAACGCAACAGTGACTCCTTTTCCTGCTGCTAATCCGTCTGCTTTTACACGATCGGTACACCTTGTGTATTCTTTCGCAGCGGATGCATCAGAAAATGTTTTAGCTACATCAAAATATCTTTTTCCTTATGTTGAGACCAAAGCTATATAATTGTTTTTCTTATTCAAATTTACCGAACCCTTAACCAACTCACAACAGCTCCAATGTGCTACATTCATTCCTAGGCTAGATTATAGTAGACCTGAGCTAATAGTTGCGCCAATTCAGTTTTTTCAAAGCTTATAAATCTATCTGGTTGTTGAATATGAACAGAGTTCACTTGCAATCAAAATAATTTTTTCACTAGCTATCTGAAGGAAATTTTTTTCATAATCATCTGAAGACCTTACGAATGCCTAACACATCAAGGAAGGAAATTGGTAACAATGAGGAATACGCAAAAATGAAAAAAGAGGGAGCGACGAAAACCTTAGCAGTAGGGATGTTGTACTTGTGGCAAAGATCCTTCATAAAGTTCTTGGAACCTTCCAAAGCAGCAGCTTGAGAAGAAGGGCCAAAGGTGAGGGTACCGGCCTTAACCAGGTCGTTGGCGAGACCCGCAACAAGAGGAACTTCAGGCCCAACAACCACTAAACCGACATTCTATTTTTGACAGAAAGAGATGACAGCTAAACTGTCTGATATGTCAAGGTCAGGTGTGCAAGTAGCATCTCCGGAACTCGTAATACCAAATTTCAAACAGCGACAAAGCCAAATGTATGTTCTAAATCAAATCTTTATTAACTAAAAACCCTGTCCAAGCTTCCGAGGAGCATATGCAGAGACATGTGAAGTAATTTCGAGCAATAGTGCAAAAAACAAAAGTTAAACTAGTCACCAAAGATAATTAAAAAATAAATAAATAATAGTAATAATAAGAAGTCGTTTCAGGCCAGCTTATGTCAAAGATAGTTTATTGTATCTACAGGCTTAAATGTGTTAGGTGCGCCAGTTTTTGTTCCTGAGGAGTTAGAGTTCCTGAGATGAACTTAACTCATCAACCTCTGCTCTGAAGAGAAGTTAAGTCATCAACCTCTGCTTTGATTTCTGTTTTGAGTTCTTCTTTGTAATCATCAAATGTGCCTTGGAAGAAAGTCACTGCTCCGTCGTCTACAACCCAGATTTCACTCTTATCCTCTTCCTCACAGACACGCGATATGAGCCTCGAGTCGTGACTCACCAACACAACTCCTCCTTTGAACCCATCTAGTGCATCCGCCAACGCATCAATAGTCTGCATGTCCAGGTGATTTGTTGGCTCGTCAAGAAGCAAAATGTGTGGCTTCGACATTGAGATTGAGGCTAACACAACCCTAGCCTTTTGTCCTCCAGACAATTTCGCAATTGCAGCTAAATGATTGTGACTTGGTAGCCCAAACTTACCCAGTTTCGCACGCACCGCCTCTTGTTTACTACATCCCTCTTGGTCAGGGTGCAGACGAAGAAGATACTGAACTGGTGTCTCTCCCATTGTTAGCTGGTCAACAAAGTGCTGAGAGTACCTGCCGATCCTCAGCTTCTGGCTTCTTCTCACTTCGCCCTCAGTCGGAACTAAATCTCCCGCAACAAGATTTAAAAGAGTGGACTTTCCAGCTCCGTTAGGCCCAACTATCGCTACTCGTGTCCCCATATCTATACCTACATCAACATTTGAGAGCCTGAAATCCGGCCTGTTGGGGTAGCAGAAGCTAACCTCAATCAACTGTAGAAGAGGAGGAGGGAGCTCGGTTGGTTCTGGAAAATCGAGCACCACGCTATAATCTCTCCACTTTCTTGGAGCTTCTGGTGCTGGACCCTCCTCATCCATCGCCTTACCCTTTGCCTTACGCTTGGATGCTTCTTTAGCTGCAGAAAACTTGGCCAAGTCCTTTACCTTCTCCTGTTGAGCCTGGTTTCCAGATCTCTTAGCTGCTTTGATCCGTTTCTCGTAAATCTCAAACTTTTTGTTCATCTCCTTACGTCGCTGACCATAACCAGTCTCGAAAGCATCGAAATTACCACGATAGCTGTGGAGATTCTGGTCATGCAAATGTATTATATCCGTACAGACAGTGTTGAGGAAATCAACATTATGTGAAACAACAACCAACGTATTCTTCCAGCGACACAAATACTCCTCTAACCATAGAACAGCTCTCAGGTCGAGATGGTTGGTAGGTTCATCTAACAACAGAAGAGTAGGTCGCACAAAGAGAGCTCTAGCCAATGATATTCGCATCCTCCAGCCACCACTGAGTAACTTAGTTGGACTCGCTAGCATATCTTTTGTAAAACCTAACCCCGCAAGAATTTTGGACGCCTGCGCTTCGGCAGCATCTGACTTCAACTCCTGTAGCTTGTCATACACTTCAGTCAGCTTTACTCCAATATCATCATCAGAAGACGAATTCTGCAGAGCTGCAGCTTCCAGAGCTTCAGCTTCTTTCCTAAACTTAACCAACTCTTCGTTGGCAGAAACAACTGCTTCCAGAGCGCTCGTTCCATCACCGACCACCTCTTGCTCAACAAGAAGAATGTCAATATTCTTCGGAACTGGAATCTTCCTCCACGCTAAAAGCTTTAACAGTGTAGACTTTCCCATTCCATTCGGCCCGACCAATCCATATCTTTTTCCGTGTGATACCATGAGTGAGGCATTCTTCAGAAGTTCTTTCCCTCGAACAGAGACGGAAAAATAATTGATCGTTATATCTTTAACATTCGCATCTCCCGTGTTTTCTCCTTCAATCACCGAGGTCTTGCTTCCCATAACCACCGTGAATGTGTCGTGGTCGTCATCCTTCAAGGCCTCCCTCTTTGCAATCTCTGCAGCCTGGAGAGCTAATCTTTCTTTATTCTCTAGCTTCTTCTGCTTCTTATCAGTCACAGAGAAATCAAGTTGCTTTTGTTTGCTCTTCTGATTTCCCATCGCATGCATCGGTCCCCGATTCTCATCAGAAAAGCCATCGTGTTCGTCTTCTTCATCATGAGGAGGATAATCTAAGTCATCAACGTAGGATGAATCTTTTGGAGCAGTCTTGGCTCTGGATGATGAACCCTTCTTGGGTATATTATCTTTCTGAGCAAGAATGGCCAAGACTGAAAGTTTCTCCTTAGAAGAATATTTTCCATTCGTGGTAGCACTCTCGTCTGACTTCTTCTTACCCATTTAAGCCTGTATTTTGGCATGAGCCAACAAAAAAATAAATAAAAAATAACCGATGAGTTATCAAAATCAAGAATTTTCTTCCTACCTTTGACTACATATCCATCAACGAGATATCATAATCAAACAGACAGAAATCATACATATTATCTAGCAAGCCAATTCAATAATTTGAACAAATCCCTCGAATTAGATTCTGCTTCAGCCCTGTCAACTCAATCCAATTACTGGGCTTCCTTTACCTAAATCGACACTATACAACATTGGATTCCTACATATCCCAACAACAAATCTATGTGAAGTTTTCTACGAACACAACGGGAACAATCAGACTTGTCAATCTTTACTTAAATTACTTTGAGATTCGCGACAAACCTGAGAGAAGTGAAACCGGAATCAGATGAAAGCTTGGGAGTAATCGATCCAGAGGTCGAAGGAGCTTTGAGGCGCGCAACGAAATCTCAATCAATGTGAAAGTTAAAAGGGTTTAGGTTTTCTCATAACCCTTTTCTATATTTAAAAAGCAATTCGGCCCAAAGGCCACATAAATAAAAATGGAAAAGAAAAGAAAAAACAAAGCATATATTCATTTAACAATAGTAAGTGATTTTTTTCAATATTAGAAGATAAGAAGTTTATATATATATATATATATATACAGTATTTCATTATCCAACGAAAATACATAATATGTGTGTGATAGGAGCAGTTAGTGGTGTTTGATGTTTGTAAATTGTGTAACGTACTAACGTGGCATAAGAGACATTAATTGATATTTTGGTAATATAAATTCATTTTTAAAGCTCAAATAAACATTAACTAAATAAACGTTAAGTTTTAAGCAAAAGTTGAGTTTCATAAAACTTTTAAAAAGAAAGATCATGTCTATCAATAGCTAGAAGATAAATTTGGTTCTATATATACCTTCGTAGACAAATATATATATAGGTATCTACGATTTACGGATGAATAGAAATTAAATTTTAGTTAAATCCATATATATATATATATCATATATATATACGCATTATCCTTTTGGAAGGAAGGAGACGTTTTTTTTTTTTTTTTTTTTGGACGTTAATTCTCTCTAATTTATCACTAGCCACTAGCCACCCATTAGAGCATAAAAGAGCAAAAATAAAAGGCAGGGCAGTAAGCGTGAAGAAAATTACGTACTCAAGTAAACAAAAAAAGCGATGAAAAAAGAAACACCAACAAAGTTTAGCATTTGACAACATTATAAGCGTTCGAAAGTTTTCTGTACCAAGAATAAAACCTTTTCTGTACCAAGAATAAAACCTAAAATCATGAAGCTTGACATACAAGCAACTTAGAATCTGTCGGTCCTACATAAACCTTCAACCAAGGTTGAATCCACAAGGTAGGAGCATTACCATTTACCACTTTGGTTTCCGAATTGAAAACCGGAAGATTGAAACGTTTCAGGAGCAACGTCACCACCATTTTTTATCTTCGTCATCTTCAGTCGTCCCAATAATCCGAATAATCCACGATGATGTCGGAGGCTTTATCGCGGATATCTTCGTTCGGGTGTTCCTGAAGAGCCACGAGTGGCTCGAAACCACCTGCGTCGTAAATCCTGGTAATGTACAGATAACCTTGTCCTGCTCCTGTGAAGCCTACTATGAGAATGTCCCCTAGAGCATCCAAGGCCGCTGAGACGAGATATGGTTTGGGAGATGTGAGAAGATCACACAGGGCTTCAATGCATCCTTGGGCCACAAGCAAACTGCGAGGTCATTATTAGCGTTTCAATTTCAAGAATCGAGGTTTACAAAATTTACAGGAAAAAAGAGTTGTTGTTTGTACTTGACATCGTCATGATTGCGCTGCTCAGTTATGTTAGAAATCGCCCAGACAGCATATCTTTTAATTTGTTCATCACTGTTTTCAAGCAGGGGAATCACATGTTGCATTATGCCTGATTCAATCACTTCCTGCACATCAAAGTTTTCAGTAACAAATGATTCGACGACATTAATATTTTGTTGACAGAAAATCATCTTACTTGAAGCTGACTCTCGTCCCAAAATGTAAATTTATAGACAATCCTGCAAATTGCCTTTTTGGCATTGTCTCGTTGTGTTTTTGTCAAGAAGTTCATGAGACCACCAAGGGGTTTATGGTCAATAACAACCTGGGTATAATCATCATTCTCCCCCATCATTATAGCGTATACCGTGCGGAGACCTTGAAGTTGAACCACGCTCAGCGGATGCCTAAAACCACAGAGAAAATTTCTGATATAAAATTAAAGCTCTAAGAGTTAATTTGCGACTTTTTCCCAAAGAGAAACTATAATAAATATACTTACTCTAAGAGTTGAATCATGCCAGGAATGACCGCTAAGCCAATCAGAATTTCAATGATATCATCGTCGTTTGTCTCAGAGAGACATGCCAGAGTAACAGATGCATTTAGGAGAACATCCGAGTCGTTTGAATACAAAAGGCGCTCAAGTTCCAGTATAGCTGGACTTATCTGCTCAAAGAAGTTATGATGAGACTCCAAAACACTTCAAATCGGTGGTTTATGTAGCTTAATCATCATAAAAATGAAACATTACCAGCTCATGTGGAGGCGGGGGATACCTACTGCACAGGACGCGTAGTGTCCATGAAGCACAAAGCAGCATTTCGGGCGTTGAATGTGGCTCATCGAATTGAGCCAACAGAGGCAACATGGCTCCGCAGCTTATGACATGATCATAGGATGGTGGTGACTTCTCAGCAATGTTTCCCAGTGCCCATACAGCCTATAATCGGTAAGAAACAAGACAAATGATATATTGATCTAACATTATAACATGTGAGCTCAGGCTTGATCTAACAGAGTTTTTTTTGAAAACACTAGACAAATGATGAACGATACCAGTAGTCGGTCTTCCTCCCTGTCAGATTTGAGAAGCTGGACAAGTATGGGGACAACACCACAATCAAGAAGGACTTGATAGTACGATGATTGGATCATTTTTACTAGAACAAAAATTGCTCCGTGCTTTTGGTCAGGGTATCTGGAAATTAATTCCACTAGGCGATAAACAATACCAAATCGAACAAGCTCATTGATGGGAGGATCGGGATCAGTAAGTATACACATGAATCTAATAATCGCCGCCTGTTGTAGTTCTCTATCCTCTGACATAATTCCAGTAATCATCGGCCGAAACCTTAACAGCTACAATACGAAGAGAAAAGCGAGTAAAAAACATCGAAGCTTAAAACTCTTCAAATCTATAAGCGACGCAGGTTTCCTGGTTCGACAAATTGAGATTTGACTTAGGTTATAACTTCCCCAAGCTTTAAATCAATTCTAATTCATCTTAACTAATCAATCTGAGAACCAGAACAAGCTTGACGATAAAATAGGAAGTTCTTACTCCAATTTCCGGAGACATAGGTAAAGAGGCGAAATTCTGCTCGATGGACCACCACAAATCAGCTGGAAAGAACGAGATCGTGGATGGATTACAGAACTTTTTGAATTTCAGAGGAAGCGAAGAGAGGAGGAAGACGAGTCAGGTATTTTTCTTTTCTTTTCTTTGAGTCTTCCGAGTTTTATATACAACGATACCGTGGAAATGGAGAAATTAAGAAAGTACGATGTTGGGCCTGCGTTTACTATTTAATCACGATATTGCCACCGTTTTGAATTTTAATCTTAACAGTCTACAAAAAAGTATTGGCGCGATTTTATCAATACTGAAATTTGGCTTTATATGAGGCTTCTAATTGATATGATATTGCAAAAAAAAAAGTGCGATTTTATTTAATTTTTCATCTTAATTTCAAGATCTACAAATGCAAATAACTAGAAAACGAGTAAAATTTAAAGAATATTGTAGAATCAGTATCGATCTATAAAAATTTGGAAGTACAACTTGTAACAAATTGTAAATTTATCGTAAGATCAGTATCTACAAAAAAAAAAAAAACACCAAGTGCGTAATGTAATTCAACATTAATGAATGCTCAGATATTAATTCACAATTATTGTGGGTTTCTTCTACAGAGTAAAGCTACAAGAACTCTCTCAGTTTCCAAATGAAGCTGAAGCATTTTATGACCCAGGAACCTGTAGGCATAGCAGAGAAAGACACAATGTAGCATAACGATACACAATCTGGTCTGGTTTCACCTACTGTCGCTGTCTCTTCTCTGGCATTTGCTTCACAACTTAGAATGAGCACAGATTTTTCCATGAGGGAAAGAGATGGTGACCTCAGGAACCAGTGTCGAGCCAATCATGTGAATAGCAAGGGGCCACAGAGCAGGGAATTGCTTCTCATGATGATCACTGACAGATTATGGTTTCGTGGAGACGTTAAATAGGTGCCCTTCAATATCTGGAACAAAACCTTTATCTACCATTTCTGCTTTAAATATTTCATAAGTTATCCGGTTCGGGACTAGACCTTTCTCCAGCATCTCATTCAAAAGCCTATTTGCATCCTCTAACTTGCCCTTCTGGGAATATCCTTGTAGAAGCACATTATATGATGCTACATTCATCCGCAAACGCCTCTCTTTCTCCATCTGTTTCCTTACGTTCGCTGCTGCTTTCAGATTTCCTTCCATACAGTAGCCTTTCATCAAAATGTTATAAGTCAGATGTCTCGGTTTCAGACCCATCTTTGATATCCCTTCTTTCAAAAGCATTGCTGCTTTTCTCGATTCTCCTTTACTGCAATAACCATCCATGAGTATGTGATATGTCACAAGATCAGGAAGACCTTTTCTAGTCAATTGATCAAAAAGCTTCTTACCTGCTTCTATGTTATCATTTCTGCATAGACCACCAATCAAGCAGTTATAAGTTTCAACGTTTGGTGCAATCCCTCTACGTTCCATCTCTTCTTTCAGTGCAAACCCATCCTCAATTTTTCCTGACTTGCAATACGCATCGATTATCATGTTATATGTTTTAGCACTAAGAACGATTCCCCGGCCTTTTACTGACTCAAGCATATCAAGAGCTTCCTTCAGCATATTGTTCTTGCAAAACCCGTTTATAAGAGAGTTGTAAGTAATTAAGTTAGGCTGCACACCTGCGCTCACCATCTTATCGTGCATACCAACAGCCTCGCTTACTTTTCCCCCACTACACAAACCATTAATCAGTGTATTGTAAGTGATCACACTCGGCATCATGTCTTGATCCAGCATCTCCTTAAACACCTTCATACTCCCCGAATAATTGTCATCTTTCCAGAACCCATCAATCAATATATTGAATGTAGTCAAGTTCGGGGACACATTATTCTCCACCATCTCCTTCAAAACCGCGTCTGCTTTGTACATTTTCCCAATTCCCCCAAGCTTACAGTACCCATCGATGATAGTGTTATAACTGACTACATTTGGAGAAAATCCGTACACTTTCATGTCCTCCATAACATCCTTAGCTTTGTTCATTTTCCCTGTTTTGCACAACGTATTGATCACGATATTGAAAGTGAACAGATTTGGTTGGATCTCCCTCCTAATCATCTCCTTATGTACATAGTCAACATCCGCAAACCGATTCTCCTTCAACAACGAAACCATCAAAGGCTTACAAGACAAAGCCGATAACTTGTACCCATAATAACCTGAAAGCTTAAACGCCTCAAATCCTAACTCGAATCTCGAATTGTTCGCATATGCCAATATCAACATATCAGCGATAATCGAATTGACGCAAACATTGTCACACATTGAAATAGCATGGAAAATCGAGTGAACCGAATGATCAGACCCTTTCCTCACAAACCCATCAAGGAAAGATCGGATCTTAGATTACCTTTTAGCGTTCGCAAGAGAATGCAATAGCCTGAATGTGTGCTCTAGCGAAACAGAGGTGTCACGGTTCTTCACTGACCAGGTATAGTACCTGAGACACAAATCTGGGTCAAGCTCCGAACAAATCAACTGTTGAAACAGCTCGTTAGGGTTTATGTCTTTCACATGAACTCCAAGCTTTGACCAGTGCTGCTTCTCTATAAGTTCAGCGATGACAGCTACGTCTACGTCATATTTAGGAGGGCAAAGGCTCCCGGCGATTGTAGCTGAAGAAGAACACGGTCTACTTAGACCTGAGAATTTTCTCGGGAAATCATCTATGAAATTCAAAACTTTTCTCCTTACGGCTTGGGATTTGGGGAATATTGATTCGAAATGAAGAAGAAGACTGGGATTTCAGGGTTTTGGTATTTTGAATTGAACCGGCCATCTTCCCATTTTATACAATTTCAGATTTTTCTTTGCAAAATGACACCTGTAGTTTAACAAAATTTAGGAAACTACCACTGAATTTTGTAGAGAACATATAAGTGAACCTTCAAAATTGGGTCTTAAATTAAGTTAAAAAAACAAAGAGACGTTTGATTTGAATAATCCATTAACAGATTTGAGCTGAGTCTTTCCTGTTTTAATTTCTTCGTTAGAACAAGAT